CGGGACTTCACACGCTAAGAAAGGTCGTGATCACAGAGATAGGCACATGGCCCAAACCCGGTGAGAACATTTTCTAGCACAAGAGGTATCCCGGAGGAGAGCAAGCAGCCTCCCAGAAAACCTAAATTTGCTAAAAAGGAGGAGAGAAAGCCTCAAGAAGAACACTGTACCAAGGAACTGAGAGATGTATAAAAATGAGATTGTGGTAAACATTAATGAAGTGCTGTATGAGAGAAGGTGCAAACCTGTCTGGTAAAAGCAGCCCCTCCTTTCTGAGCCCTACATTCCCGGAGGCTAATATCCAGGTGAAAGAATGAGATGTTTAAAGACTGAGCCAACATTTTACAAGAAAAACAAACAAACAAAAGATGAGGACACAGAATGGTGGAGGCTAGACAAGATAATGTGTCTCACGCCTGCGGAAGAAGTCAATAAAACAATTATAAAATTGCTACTTGATACACTGGCAATAAACAACCATTCTACTTTGCAACTTTAAAGCATCTTTCCTCAGGTGATTTGAAAATAACACTTCAGAACAGCCACTGTGCAGACAGAAAAATTCAAAAGCACATGGTGGAAATTGGGAGAGCAAATGGAAGGGGAGAGTGGAACCCACAAGTAATACCTGGCTCAGAGTTAACCAAGAGATGCTACGAAAAACACCGCCATGGCGTGGGACAGACATTTTACACAGGGGCTGATTCTGCCCTCATGCCTCCTGTTTCAAGCACAGGAGGTGCGAGTAGTCCAGCGGATAGAGCAGGACTGATTCTGTGCTGGTTGTAAAGCGTAAGCCGTTTTCTGAATCCCATCCAAAGCACAGAGCACCTAACAAGACTGTGCCATTAGTCCCCAGCCCTACAAATATATATTGAATATACTTGGCAATAAACCCTCAGTGCTTCAGATGAACTCATTATACGTGCAAGACTGCCAGAGCACTACCTCATTTTGCATTTAGCCAAGCTTTTTTATGAATTTGGTGAACAAAACCTAAAGTAAAACTCATCCAAATTCACCAAATTTTACCCAAGTGCCTTTTGAGCTCTGAACCTGGCCACCAGGGAGAGCACCGAACAACAGCTATGCAAAAGGATTTTCTGATTTAACTTCAGGAATCTTTTCTCTTGAACTGAGTCGAATAAAAAACAATTTAGTAGGTGAAGTTAAAGGCTGGCAAGTTTTTTAAGGCAGGGGAGGTTTCATGCAAAGGGCTTTCCAAACCTCAGTGTTGCTTAACTGGGAGCACTAATAGCTTAAGTATGGTTTAGATCTGGCTCATCAGATTTTCGCTGTGATTCAGAAGAATGATCCTGGAGATTGCAGGCTTTCAAAAATTTCATAATGCTCATAACACTGACTACTAGCGTGGAATAACTCTGTTCCTCATTTGTTGCCTTGAGAATTCTATCCAATTAAATTCACTGACAAAGAGCAGAGCAAGGTTCACAAAATTACACAAGAGAAACCTGTTTGCTTCATTCTCACTCGAGCTGCCAAGCAAGGTTTAATTTCAGTCTTTGGCTGTGTATTACTAGAGACGTGCATCCATGGCAAGTAGGTCTTTTATCAATAGCAGGAAATCTTATTTGTCACTTGTAAAACAAAGTTAACTGATCCATAAAACAACCGCAGAAATAAGCCATGAACGTCGTTTGCCAGGACAGTTTACTCAACTCAGTTTGGCTTCAGAGCGACACATCTATGTCTATCAGCTGGATTTATGCCCAACAGAGGGCATCATCAAATCGTTATCATATTGGTTCACACTGAAAGTAATCTTGATAAAGTACTCAACTTTGAGCTTTGTAGCTGTACTTTTAACCCTCGTTCCTTAAGCTAATCCACACTAAAAGACGTTGTATGCGAATTTTTGCCAATGCAATTACGCTAGTCAAAAACCCAAATACACAGGACATTAGGAAAGTGTTTTACACTGGTACAGTTAATTTCAGCATCCAAAAGGGATGAGCTATGTTAGTAAAGCCAGGCCCATTTAGGGATTTGCAATTCATATGAGATTTTACTATTTAACTATTCCAGTGTTACTCAAAATGTTTTGGTATGGGGAAATTATCACACATTTGTGAAAACTCACACTCTTGAATGCTTTTCCAGTTTTCAGTTATATGCAGGAGGTTTTGAAACTTTTTACATATTCACTATTATCACTCAAAATTGCTCAACGGCCCACTCTCATCAGCGTACTTGAGCTCGTGTTTTGCACAGTACCCCATGTTCAAGCTGTGACACCTACCATTTAGTTAGGATGCCATGATTCCTGCTCTTGAACTGACTTCTGTACACATAATAGCATCCCAAGATGACAGTGTGGATACGTATATAAACAGAGTGAGTAAGCATTTTTGTTCCCTGATGATTACTGGCAGACAGAAAAATATTTTCTTATCCTCTGCATGTTTTCATTAAGCACTATGTAGCAGGAGCCTACAAATAAGTCCATTATTATACAATGAAGAAAACTGTAAAATATTTTTGATTTTTTTTTCAGGAGAAGCTGTTAACCTAACCTTTTTAAGTCACATCATTTGGAGAAATGCTACTAAGTCTCTTCAATTTGTTTGTGTATGCACAAACTGAAACACTAGTCAGATCGACCCAGCTTTCTCGAAACGAGTCCCCCTTAAAAGCTGCTTGAGGACCTCAATAATTTTTTATTTTTTTTTCAAAACAGTAAAATCCATAGTAATCAAAAGCATTGTCTTTTCTTACAAAGCTTCCTGGAATTTCCGAAGCACTGTTGGGATCTCAAGGTTTCGCCGTCTCCTAAACCATTTCTCCACCAAACGGACCGTACAGTTGCACTTTTTGGCAAGGCCTTGAATCTCTGACTGCAAAAAATGGAATAGTGTTAGCAACAAGATGTACTCCAATGTAATTTTCGTTTATTTTGTAGTTCACAGATCAGCTTCCCGCTGTTGTAAGGTCTTCATTTAAAAATATTACTAATATTAACTATCTATGAGGGTTTATTGCCAGCTTACTGGTTTAATTTGTAAGTGACACTCACAGAAACCCTGGATTTTTGAGATGCTAATTTATATAAATGAAGCAGGCATGAAACGTACAGATCCAGAAACCCTGCTATTGTCTTTCTGGTGGCTTCTGATAGTTTCAAAGATGCAAGAGGTTGGGCTGGAGGAGGAAGTGCCATGTATCAACACATGTGGACATTGCACCTAATATCTTACCTAATTATAATTAATTATTAGATTATATTTAAATGAGTCTCACAGGTGAGACACAGGCCTGGAATTAAGGTGACCTGAGTTCTGTTCTCAAATCCCACATACTTCTGTGGTACAGGGCAATTCAATTACTTTTACTGAGGAAAATGCAGACTGCCTTTTCACACCTAAAAATAAATTAGGGCTAGAGCATTGCCTGGAAATGCATCTAGCCATCCAAGTGCCCCAGCCGGGTGTCTCTGCTTAACGTGTGCTCCGAAGGTGAAGCGGCTCTGCCGCGCAGCCGCGCTAGCACGTGCTAAGCACAAGGCAGTGCGACTCCTGCGTTTCTTGGGTGCTCAGCGCCCCACGTGCAGCAGCCTGCAGGCTTCCTCCCTCTCCTCCACCCTGAAGTGCAGAAGGTGTGGGCTGACCTCACCCAGCGCTGCTGCAGGAGCAGAGGAGGTGTTGGACTCATCCCTGGGGAAGCTCTTTCCCAGCAAGGCTAGTATGGAAATAGTGGGTGGCCGCAGCGCTGCCTCCACCAAGGTAAGTCCAGTTCAGTTAGTCTCCTACCCTCAGGGAGAGCTCTGGTATGTGAGCGAAGACACCTCAGCTGCCGGGGAGGGCAGGAGTGCAAACAGCCTCTGTGTTCAGCCCATCCTGCTGGCTGGAGAGCTCTCTACTTGCCACGCAGGAATACTGGCTTTGTTTTGACAGACAACGGAGCCTAGATGCCCTCAATTGCCAGCCAGGCCTGAGCATGCATTCTTAGGCACACTGGGAGCCACGCTGGACACCTAAAGGAGGCAGCCTGAATCTTTCTCATGCACTGACAAGTATAAAAATGCTGCGCTTCCTCTCAGAGATTAATCGTCAAACTGTACTCATGCAGAAGGAAGGTGTGAAACAGAGATCGGGATACTTGCCCAGATAGAGAAGAGCTCAAACGTGAACACAAATACATCTATTCCTGACGATATCAGGCAAAAGACACAGTTAGAGAATAGGAGAGTTAGGGATAGAAAGCAAAGTTTCACGTATCAATAATTATCAGTATCCCTCATTGCTAGAAAGCATGTATTTCTTTTCAAAACCAGTGTAGGAACGCCGCAGTCGTTTGGTATCTTAGGTAAGTGAACCTTTTGAGGCTGCATTCACAGCAACGTACCTGTTTCCCATCAACAATCAAGTTGCCTCATTTTTTGAGATGGTAAACATTGGCTTTTTTTTTTTTTTTTTCTTGTTCAAATTTAAAAACAAACAGCAAGCTAACAGAAAGGTTGCTTTTCTTTCTCACATAAGCCAGGATTAAGTATGCAGCAATATAATGGATCAAAAGGCTTCCATGCCAGCGTTCCAATATTATTGCTTGCAATAAATATGATACCACTTTCCCACAACAGATGTCAGCTGATGTTTTCTCCAGGCAAAATGAGTTAAAGATGGAACACTGATCTTCACTGGAAATAATATTAACAGTCTAACCTAGGACAGCATGCCAGAAAGTTAAACATCTTAAACATATTTTCTGTTTTGGATGCCATATACCCTTGTCAGCAGAACAGCAACAAAAACCCAAATAAATTAAGTCATCTGTCAATCAGCTGGAACTCATCTCATGATGTCATTGCTGATAGCTGATTGAAACAGTAAGACTTGGGATTTTCCAAAACCAAAACTCGTTTAAAAGAATGAGAATCCTTACGTGGGATGGATGTTTTGAGCACTCCCGGAAATAACTCTCTAAAACAGGATTAGGCTGTGGCTTCACACGTCTTACATTCTTTATACCCAAGGCTTTTGCTAGAGGTATAGCAACATATCTGAAAAGAGATACCATGAAAAACTTTAAAAATACAACACAGTTACACCTTAGCTCTTCTTATGCCAGGATATGAAGAAAATAAATCTGAAGCAATTTAATCTACCATAGGATATGACAGTGCACTGTGAGAGAATCTCCCTCTAGCTAATCCCAAGAGAGAACCATAGCATATGAGCAGTTATGTAAAAAAGCAGACCCAAGGACTCAAGTTCGTGGTCGTGAAATACTATAAAACTAAAGGAAAGATCCTGATTTTTGTGTCCTTGTGTTTTGCAGAGGCATATTGGAGTTAAGCAACAGTTAAGGGAGAGTGAAACAAGAACAGATGCTCTCTCCATGCGAGACGAAAGATTGCTACTGGGATACTTTCTCCTAGTGGCAGGTAGTCACTCAGTACATTGCTTCACCGGGCAACCAGTGCCCAAGATGCTGGATTTGGCTTGCGGCCTCTGGCCTGTGGCACACAGCAACTCCCCCAGAGACCAAAGGCTTCTCTTTCTCTTCCACTTTCCAATACAAATCGCTGCAGAGCACGCCAAACGCTTCGCTCTGCTACTTGGGCAGGCTTTTCTGAAAAAGCCTCCCTTCACTCCTGCTGATATCAGCAATTGATTCCTTATTACTCATAGCAGCGGTCAGTTTTCCTCATTCATGGGCAGATTCACTGCAGGCCAGATGTGTGGGCTAGTTATTCACACGAGCGATTTCCCATAGCAGCGCAGTGAGACACAGTTGGGCAAGCATTTACTCAGGAGACACTGTGAATGGTTATAAACATATGATCCAAATTACTTTTGATCCCTAACATGAATGATCTTATCTGGTTCTGTTTGAAGTCTGTCCAGCTTACCACATTCCAAATTTCCTCATTCTATCCTGAAATAATTATAAAAACCTACTAATCATAATCTTTAGAGCAAAAAAAGAAAGTCAAGCAAAAAACACACAAATAAATAAGTCAAAGCACTGCAAAGCTTAATATATTTGTAGCTTTCTTCTCTGGAGCCAGCCTCTGCCTGTCCCAAAAGATTCCAGCTGCAGAAGCAACCTATCTTTCAGTGCCAAAGTGAGAAAAAAAAAAAAAGAATCAGTATTACTAGATGTCCATAAAATGTTCACATGAAACTTTGAGATCCCTCCAGTCTGCCCAGTTTTGCTACAGCTAGACACCTGGGATCTATCAGCCTCACACAAATGTTCTGGTAGAGGACCAAACGAAAGGAGAGGTTTGGTTTGGAGGACAAATAACTCTACCCTTCCGCCGAAGGAGAAAAAGCAAAAGGAAACCCAAATGGTTTTGGATTAATTGTATCTCTAGTGAAAGGAGATAATTATCCAACCACTGGTCTAGAAAAGCTAGATAGAAATATCTTCCTTCTAGATTGGACCACAGCCACATGTACCTAATAGCGAAAATATTTCCCGATTTTTTACCTGCCATATTATCTGCACTAGATCTTTCCGGCAAACTACCAACTAATCCTCCTTTGTAAAAGCATAAGAACATGGATCTAAAGAGATCTTATTTTTCAAAAATTTTGAGCATTAATGAGGATTAACATTAGCATAAAATTGCATTTATGTTTCTTACCTTTCACTGAAGAATCGGATAATCAGCAATACAAGAGCATATGGTATTGTGGCATATAACTGATGTGGTTTTGGAAAGACAAGTCCATCACGGTCTACAAAATGAGCCCACGTGACATTGATAGGCATCCAGATATTCTCCCACCAGAACCAGCTGTTGAGTGTCTTTAATATGTGCGCCATACTAAGCAAATAAAAAGACAATTAAAAATTATTCCTAATATATTAAAAAGAAAATGCTTTAAATAAAACATATTGAACCTTGTTGTGTAGAACAGTGGTTCCCAGCTGGCAGGACATTTCCTAATGATAAGGCACAAGCAAATAGCAGATGATGCTCAGGTCCCACAAGAACAAGCTGTCCTGACCTGCATGGGTCCCACTGGTATTGCGGGTCCAACAGAGTCACGCTACAGAGAAACTGCAGGCACTGTAGAGATGCTCAGGTGTCCCAGACTAAATCAAGAGCAAACAGACCTTGCCAGTGAAGTGTGCAATTGTGTCAGTTTTCTCAGGGGGAAAAAAAAAAAAAAAAAAAAAAAAGAGGAAAAAACCATCAGTTACAGGAAGTTGAAAAGCCCTTGGTTCAGAGCATGCAGGTGGGATTACCATCCAGCAGAAGATAAAATACTACAGCTAAATATTGAGCTGGTATAAACCAATGCAGAGTCTTTGAAATCTGCAGCAGGGGGTTCATCTGCTCTCTCATTTCAATCGTTCACACTAGACTGCTTAGTACTGGGTCAAATCGTTTACAATAATAATTTATAACCTATCATACCAATACACTGAAGATACTAAAGAGAACTGATCTTCCCTTGGCCGCCTTCGTAAATTAAATATAAGTGGGTGGAAGGGTGGAAAAGAAATGCGAAAGGCCAGGGGGTGACTCAGTTCCATGATAATGAAGACATTTCACTGCTGAATTACTGCTGCTTAATATACTAATGACAATATATACCTTGATCCTGATTTTGCAAACACCTGTGCACAGGACCAAGTATAAAAATTACAGTGCACGGCAAGCTTTTTGGGGGATTTGCAAGAAATACTATGATTTAACTGTGACTAAATCCTAGATCAGAACAAAATGTCTAAAATCAGTTCTTGAAGGAAAAAAAAAAAAAATCACTTAAATGAAAACATTTCATTCTTGTAAAAGTCTCATTTTCAAGCTTTGTATTCTACATTATATATTTGGAAATATATGTCCTTCATTTAGTTGTAAGGACTTTACAGTAGAAACATGTTATATATCCTATAAAAATATTCTAAAATTGAATAAAAATAGAAGTTACCATAATGTTTTCCATAAGGCTGAAATAAGTAATCTTTCTGTAATTTCTAGGACTAATAAATTTAAATAACTTTTTCCATACTAAAATTTCTTATAAACCAGAAAAAATATGAGGAAAGAACTGATTTCACTGAACCCTAGTTTTGATGAGGAAGGAGTTGAGCTGGGAGAATTTCAACCAAGTCTCCTCGTAACGTTAGAAATCCCATCTGAAGATCTCGCAGCGATACATTTATATAGGATCAAGTGATATAAATCAGATCAAATCATGCTGAGGACAGATCGTAGCTCAGGCCCTTTCACGTTCCTCCGTAGTTGAGCAGTGGCCACACAACTTTCGTTTCGCCTGCAGCCACACGTAGCTTCCACCCGTGCTGGATCAGGACACCCAGCTCTGTGTGCTCAAACGGGCTTTCCGGATTCGGACGCGGCTGGCTCTGAAGCCCGCTTCAATCAACAGCTAACGAACAAGCCCTGCCGTCCATGCTGGGCTGTTTCCACTAAGCTAAAGCCTTGCAGCAGGTCCGTGAAACAGTGACTTGTATCCATCAAACAGAGCTGGGTTAACAGACACTGTGAATCAATTCACTGGCCACGCACAGTAGTCAGTATTGAAATATTAATAACCCAGCCATTTAATCTTTTTAAATGCCAAAAGGGGACAGTAAAATCCTACTGAATGAATTGTGTGTGTATAAGTAAATGCAAAAATAAAGCGGGGAGAAATCACAATTGTTCCTGCACCACGACTTTATATGCCAACTTTCAGCCTAGGGCAATCTTTTACTGCTGAATTATAAACCCCTGGAAGCAGGGATTTATAATGGGGCTGCTAACAGACCCTTAACTACAGCTAGCAGGCGCCATGATAATGAAGCAGGGCTTTGAAACATGACATTTTAGGTCAGCTTGCAGACAAACTGCCCTGGAAGACCAGGCGAGAGACTCATTACAGTTCTGCTTCCTAATATATCTATATTTTTAAACCAGACTGTGCATTGCAAACTATCACGAACTGTAACTGCAATAAAAATAGGCCAGTCTATTATAACACAGTGGAAAGAGCACTAACAGTCGGACTGTGCTGAGATGGGGTCTAACTGAATATGCACCCAGAACACTTAAACCCTAGGAAAACACAGTAGTGCGCATTTTCACATTGAATTCTTGGCTTTTCACTAATTCATCTTTTCCTTCCACACACAAATGCCTTACCGTGTGACTACCTTTTCAGGTCTTAAATTAGTGAATACATCTCTATTAAACTAAGCTCATAAGCACATGCTTCATCTAAAATTTAAGGGAATTCTGGGATTTGGAGTCTGACCCAGAGTCCACAGATTTCAGAAGGAATCCTTCCTCACAAACACCAGAGAGAGTCACGGAAAGGTGGCTTCTCCGAAACTCTTTCTTCTGTAATCCCCTGTATTTGTACCAGGACTTGCCTTGCACGCAGGGGATTAGACCATCCTTGATGAACGTTGTCCAAGCAATTCTTAGAAAACTGTTGAGATTCCACACCTGTCTGCAGCCTATTCTTATGTTTCATTACTCCTAAATTGGATGTTCACCTTACATCCAACCTATGTTTTCACTGCAGCAAATCAGGCCATTCCCCAGGCAATCTTGGAGATTTCCATCTTCATAATAGCAGCTGTTTAAGTAGTTGGGCTCTTTTCCTGTCTCCCTTCAGCTTCAGTTCTCATCATGAGGTTCCTGGAGCACCTGGAAGGCAAGGAAGTCCTTCCAAACACACCTGAGCAGCAGTGACCTGAGCATTTTACAGCTTCTCTTTCTGCCCTCTTTGCTCTTAAATGGCTGACAGCTGTGGCTGTGTGATTAAGTAGTTTCATCCCTCCTTAAATCATGGAGATCCTGAAATATGTAGGAACTCCATAAACACTATTTTGTCGCATATATCACATACAAGCAAGGTTCTCTTCTCCTGTACTACAAACAAGCTGTGGCCCTTTCAGCTTCCTGAGAAATATCTCACGAAACCCACAGGTACTTTGTATGTTTTTCTGTACGAAAAGGAAGCTGACACCTGACAGAAGTCTCCATCTCGGGAAGCATCACTCAAAGCAACCTAACCGGGAATAACTCAGCGCTAGCTTTATTTATCATCTCCTTCTCCACTAATACATACTTGCTACTTCCTAGAAACCTTGATTAAAATTAGTATTGGAACTCAATTATACTTTTAAAGATGAACCCATCTACTATCCCATCCCCTCTGCCAAAAAGGTTCTTTCAATGCTCCTGAAGCATCACTGATACAAATCATCCAGCTCTATGCTTTACTCACCACAGCTACAGCAACCGCTGTCCCTCATTATCAGCTTTCTCCTCATTATGGCTTGACCACTTCATTCTAAATTATTTACTTTCAATCCTTTTGACCCTAAACAACGGCTGTGTAAATCATGAGAGAAGAGGCCAGAGGATGGAGAAAAGGAGACAGAGAGAAAGCACACAGGTCATTTGTCTCTAGCAAGATTTGTCTGTTCAAAAAACCACAGCTGCCATTTGCCAATCTCTCCTCCTTCCCATTACCCGCTGCCGGGGACAGTTCTGGCACGGTGAATTCTCTGAACCCTTAATTCCCCATCCGTGTCAATTCACCAGGCAGAGGCTGAATGGCCAGAGAGAGCAAACTCTGCTTTCAGACCACATCAGCTTAAAGGCACATCGCCTGTGCCATAGGAGAGAAAACTTTCCCGTTATTGTTTGCATGCTACTTTTTCTGGCAAAAAGGTTTTGCCCCCACAAATGGCATATTACATGTAGACCAACCTCAAGCACTCGCATATATTTTAAATGATGTCTATACTGTTTAGTTTTGGTTTTAAACCAAAGATTTTTGGCAGCTTGTTAAATCCTAACAGGTTAGGAAGGCCAGTAACCCTTTGGCCATACAATCTTACACTGAGAACACCTCTTCCAAGTGCTCATAGTGTGAGTAGGAAAGGGAAGGCATCCGCCATGGGTCCTCTTGTGGAAAGGACTAATAAATAGGTGGGAGTGTTCCAGCTGTCCCTTCTGCCACCCAGGGGCTATGGGCAGCGGTGGCGAGGCAGACGGGCATTTGCTCATACAGTGCCCAAAATCTGGGTGGGAAACGGGAGAACCAGTTTCTTATCACTCGGGTGAGTGGAGTGTGTTTTGCAACAGGCTCATTTTATGCTGCTGAGAAATTTTTGCCTCGGAGAAGCACTATGACTGCAGTCCTCGGGACCCAGGTTCGTTTCCCTGGTACATCAGTGTAAACTAGAGGACACTTACTTTCGTCAGGAGCTGGTGACCACGCAAAGGCAGGTGTTCCAGTGTAACCACAAGTGGTGGCAACCAGTTCCAGTGCTGCGATCAGGCTGCAGAGACTGGATTTCAAAGGCAGCTGATCTTTTACTTTGCATAAATCGTCACAAGTTGCTATTCTCCCCTCACACACGCTGCTTCCAAAGAATGGGCGGCATATGCAAAGGCCCAGCTTGTCCTCATTTGGGACCAGCTCTAACAAGAAACTTGAAAGCCTACCCAGCCTAAACCTCCTATTGCTAAAAGTGCTGAGCTCAGAGCTTTTTTTTTTTTCCCTTACTGCTCATAACAGCACCAAGCAAGCAGCAAGATGTGTCAAGTGAGAAATGACAACAGACGAGTGACGCATATTCTGCCCAACCTAGGGTCAAAAAACCCTGCTTCTTCCCAGATTCCTGTCCATACACCAGCACTGCCAATATTATTTTCATTGACAAAAACTGGTATTGTTGCCCTTGCTCTAGAAGGTCCTAAAAATCAGTTGAACAATAAAGATATTTTAGAAAACTGGAAAGTTCCCCTGCATCTTGGAAATTAAATATTCCAAGTAAAGAAATCTAATCACCTC